TAGCATGTTGTTGTTTTGTGCCTGCTTTCAAGTCATTTCAGATTTGAAGGCACATAGCAGGGTTATCTTAGCAAACTTTGTTCAGGGGGAGTTTGTCTTCTTCTGAGGCTTCTTTTTTGTCATGTCAGGAGTGACTTGAGAAACTGCAAGTCGCTTCTGGTGTGAGAGAATTGGCCATTTGCAAGGATGTTGCCCAGGGGACGCCCGGATGATTTTTGATGTTTTATCATCCTTGTGGGAGGCTTCTCTCATGTCCCCACATGAGGAGCTAGAGCTGATAGAGGGAACTCATCCACACTCTCCCTGGATTCAAACCCGTGACCTGTCAGTCTTCAGTCCTGCCAGCACAGGGATTTAACCCACTTCACCACTGGGGGCTCCCTCTGCGGCTGAGAGAGTGTGACTGGCCCAAGGTCAACCAGTAGGTTCCTTATGTCTAACACTCAAAAGTCTTCTCAGGCTAGGTTGCTGTGAGATTTTTTGGGCTGTATGGCCATGTTCCAGAAGCATTTTCTCCTGATGTTTCGCCCACATCTATGGCCGGCATTTTCAGAGGTTGTGAGGTCTGTTGGAATCTAGACAAGTGGGTATTATATATCTGTGGAATGTCCAGGGTGGGAGAAAGAATTCTTGTCTGTTTGAGGCAAGTGTGAATGTTGCTATTGGACAGCTTGATTAGCATTTAATAGCCTTGCAGCTTCAAAGTCTGGCTGCTTCCTGCCTTGGGGGATCCTTTGTTGGGAGGTATGTTTCGCCCACATCTATGGCAGACATCCTCAGGGGTTGTGAGGTCTGGATCTACACAGACATATAATCCAGTTTCTGATCTCAGACTATCTGCTTTGAACTGGATTATATGGCAGTGTAGATCTAGACTAAGAATCCCAGAGACTCGGAACTCTATAACACTTTCTATACTTATAAACATCCAGTTTTAATGAAACCTCTCTCTGCATGGCTTCTTAGAACATACGATGCTTCAAAAAAGAATGCAAACACATATTCTCTTATCAAGGGACTTTGTTTAAACCTTGAACAATCTATATAAATAAAAATATAATGTTCGTTTGTGGGATTAACAGAACTCAAAAACCACTGGACGAATCGACACTAAATTTGGCACAAGACACCTAACAACCCAATGTATGTCCTTCACTCGAAAAAAATTGATTTTGTCATTTGGGAGTTGTAGTTGCTGGGATGTATTGTTTGCCTACAATCAAAGAGCATTCTGAACCCCACCAACAATGGAATTGAACCAAACTTGGCACACAGTTCTCCCATGACCAACAGAAAATACTGGAAAGGTTTGGTGGGCAGTGTCCTTTGGTTTTGGAGTTGTAGTTCACCTACATCCAGAGATCACTGTGAACTCAAACAATGATGGATCTGGACCAAACTCTACATGAATACTCAATATGCCCAAATGTGAACACTGGTGGAGTTTGGGGAAAATAGAATCTTGACATTTGGGATTTGTAGTTGCTGGGATTTATAGTTCACCTACAATCACAGAGCATTCTGAACCCCACCAATGATGGAATCGAACAAAACTTGGCACACAGTTCTTCCATGACCAACAGAAAATACTGGAAGGGTTTGGTGGGAATTGACCTTGAGTTTTGGAGTTGTAGTACACCTACATCCAGAGAGCACTGTGGACTCAAACAATGATGGATCTGGACCAAACTCTACACGAATACTCAATATACCCAAATGTAAACACTGGTGGAGTTTGGGGAAAATAGAATCTTTACATTTGGGAGTTGTAGTTGCTGGGATTTATAGTTCACCTACAATCACAGAGCATTCTGAACCCTACCAATGATAAAATTGGGCCAAACCTCCCACACAGAACCCCCATGTGGGCCACAGCAATGCATGGCAGGGGACAGCTAGTATACAGTATTCAATTAAACAGAATCAATGTTGGAGATTCTATGAAGCACACAGGAATTTTCCCCTCCAACACAATCTGCGTAGCATCCGAGGCAACCACGTATCTCTTTAAGAGACTGACTGTGTTTACCGGAAGCCAGCAACTTTCCAGGGATTTAACAAACCCTTCCCAATGTTTCCCAACTCCTTATTGGTAAAGGCAATACATAGGAATAAATGGAGTTATTATTGTCCAAAATATGGAGATTAGGGGAATGAATCCAAAGTCTCCATTTAGATCTTCGAGTTCCCCAACAGATCAACAAAGCTAGAAAAATGCTGTATACCACAGTGCCAGAATATTTTGTTACTGTATTTTTAAAACAAAACAAAACTTTGATGTTCAAAGAACATATACTTCTATTATCTGGATTCTGGAAATGGGAGATTGTGTCGTCAACAACAACAAATTAGTGACGTATCTCACATTCTTTCCTGAAATCTTCAATGGAATTCAGCTACAAATTAACCTATGTCGTACATCAACCCTATCGATGATGGAGAGGACTCGAGATGATAACAACAACAACAACAACAACAACAACAACAACAACAGAAGCATGCCAAGAGTCCTCTGTCCATGAGCTACTTTTTGAACAGAGAGTATCCTGATTTAATGCAGTTTTTGACATGACTTGACCAACTCAATGCCATGGAATCATGGAATCATGGGATTTGCAGTTCTTAAAAACCCTTTAGCCTTTGCTGCCCAGGAATACTGGTACTAACCCAACTAGAACTCCCAGGGTTTTATACCATTGAGTCATGGCAGTTCAAGTGGTGTCAAACGGCATTCAATCTACAATGGAGATGTGCCTAATGCTGGCTGCGGACCATGCACAACAACAGCAGCAACAACAATAACAACAACAACAACAAATGCCTTAATTCTACAGTGTAGATGAACCTCTAATATGATAACAGCTGGGAACCATGATATAATAGTGATGCCAACTGGGAACAATGATCAAATAATAATAATAATAATAATAATAATAATAATAATAATAATAATTTGCCGATACATCACACAGTCCTAGACACTTGGGAAGTGTCCGACGTGTGATCCAATACAACATCCAGCAGAGTGATCTTGTTTGCTGTGGACTCATCTTGTTGTGTTTATAATAATAATAATAATAATAATAATAATAATAATAATAATAATAATAATTCGCCGATACATCACACAGTCCTAGACACTTGGGAAGTGTCAGACGTGTAATCTAATACAACAGCCAGCAGAGTGATCTTGTTTGCTGTGGACTCATCTTGTTGTGTTTCAAATAATAATAATAATCGGCAATGTAGATGTACCTTGAGTATGATGGAAACCATAATAGAATAAGTAGTAGTAATAATAATGATAATGATTATAATGATAATAATGTTAATGATAATAATATGAATGATCATTATGATTATGATGCTAATGTTAATGATGATGGTGATCCTGTTAATGATGATAATGTGAATAATGATATGATCATGATAGTGCTAATAATAATGTTAGTGGTGATAATAATAATAATGTCAGTGCTAATAATTATGATATAATGTTAATGATAATAATAATGCTAATGGCTTGTTATATTATTTGAAACAACACAAGATGGGACACTCTGCTGGCTGTTGTATTGGATCACACGTCGGACACTTCCCAAGTGTCTAGGATTATTATTATTATTATTATTATTATTATTATTATTATTATTATCATTATTGTGTTAATGATAATACTAATAATGATGGTAATAATGATAATGATAATAGTAATGATAATGTTCATGAGAATGATGATTATTCATTGAAGCACTGCACCCAGTGTGCCGATCACCACTGGGACTACCTTGACTGGCTTGTTATATTATTATTCTTATGTTAATGATAATACTAATAATGATGGTAATAATGTTAATGATAATAGTAATGATGATGTTTATGATAGTGATGATGAAGCACTGCACCCAGCATGGTGATCACCACTGGGACCATCTTGTCTGGCTATTATTATTATTATTATTATTATTATTATTATTATTAGAAACACAACAAGATGAGTCCACAGCAGACAAGATCACCTTGCTGGCTGTTGTAGTGGATTATTATTATTATTATTTTAATGATAACACTAATAATGATGGTAATAATGTTAATGATAATAGTAATGATAATGTTCGTAATCGTGATTATTATTCATTGAGGCACTGCACCCAGTGTGCCGATCACCACTGGGACCATCTTGACTGGCTTAAATTATTATTATTATTACTATTATTATTATTATTTGAAACACAACAAGATGAGTCCACAGCAGACAAGATCACTCTGCTAGCTGTTGTAGTGGCTGATGATGATGATGATGATGATTATTATTATTATTATGTTAATGATAACACTAATAATGATGGTAATAATGTTAATGATAATAGTAGTGATGATTATTCATTGAGGCACTGCACCCAGTGTGCCGATCACCACTGGGACTATCTTGACTGGCTTATATTATTATTATGTTAATGATAATACTAATAAGGAGCTGGGGGTGGTGACGGCCGACAGGGAGCTCTGGCGTGGGCTGGTCCATGAGGTCACGAAGAGTCGGAGACGACTGAACGAATGAACAACAAATACTAATAATGATGGTAATAATGTTAGTGATAATAGTAGTGATGATTATCCATTGAGGCACTGCACCCAGTGTGCCGATCACCACTGAGACCACATTGACTGGCTTATATTATTATTATTATTACTATTATTATTATTATTATTAGAAACACAACAAGATGAGTCCACAGCAGACAAGATCACTCTGCTGGATGTTGTAGTGGATTATTATTATTATTATTATTATTATTATTATTATTATTATTATTATTATTATTATTATTATTATGTGAATGATAATAGTAATGATGATGTTGATGATAGTGATGGTGATGATGTTACTGATAATAATGACAGCAATGATGATGATGCCAAGAGCCCTCTGATTGTGAGGGTGGGAGGTCCCTTCTTCTGACCCGACTGAAGTCGCTTTGGAGGGAGGAAACACTCACCGGGATGTCCTGTTGGCGGCAGGGCTGCCCTTCTTCTTCTTCTTCTCCTTCTCCTCCTTCTTCTTCTCCTCCTTCTTCTCCTCCTCCGCCCCGCCGGGTGGGGCAGAGAGAGAGAGAGAGAGAGAGAAAGAGAAGGGCCCCCTCGGAGCCCAAGGAAGGAAGGAGGGAGGGAGGAAAGAAGGAAGGAAGGAGAGAGAGAGAGGAGGAGAGGAGGAGAGGAGAGGGGAGCCCCAGGAGGCGCGCCGGAGCTGCTGTCCACGGCGGCGGTGGTGCTGAAATGCGCCTCTCTCGCCGCGCCCGGCTCAGCCCTTGTAGCGTAGGCTAGTGGCCATGGCAACCCCACGTCACATAGTTTGAGGGATGGGGGACCCAGGCAGGAAGGGAGGAGGGAAGGGAGGAGGGAGAGGGAAGGAGCCCAAGAGAGGGAAACCCGGCAAGAGGGAAGAGCCAAGGGAAGGGCATCTCCAGAGGGAAGGGGAGCAGGAAAAACCATCCCCGGAGCTTCCCAATCAATCCCTCTGAGCAAGGAATCCAAGGCAAACCTGCCACACAATGCTCCCTCCCAAGCAACACTCAAAAACAGGGGGATTCCAGACGAGAAACAATCCAGGCCAGCTAATCACCTCCTAACAAAGGATTCCCCCAGTAAGAAGCCAGACCTTGAAGTTGCAAAGCCATTAAATGCTAATCAAGGTGGCCAACTGCAACATTCACACCTACCTCAAACAAACAAGAGTTCCTTCTCCCACTCTGGACATTCCAGTTCTCCCACTCTGGACAACTCCCAACAAAGGATTCCCCCAGGCAGTAAGAAGCAACATTCACATCTATCTCAAACAGGCAAGAGTTCTTTCTCCCACTCTGGACATTCCAGTTAACACTTCCCAACAAAGGATTCCCCCAGGCAGTAAGAAGCCAGACTTTGAAGCTGCAAAGCCATTAAATGCTAATCAAAGTGGCCAACTGCAACATTCATACCTACCTCAAACAAACAGGAGTTCTTTCTCCCACTCTGGACATTCCAGTTAACACCTCCCAACAAAGGATTCCCCCAGGCAGTAAGGAGCCAGACCTTGAAGCTGCAACACCATTAAATGCTAATCAAGGTTGGCCAATCGCAACACTCGTACCTACCTCAAACAGACAAGAGTTCTTTCTCCCACTCTGGACACCTCCCAACAAAGGATTCCCCCAGGCAGTAAGAAGCCAGACCTTGAAGCTGCAAGGAAATTAAATGCTAATTAAGGTGGCCAATTGCAACATTTGCACCTACCTCAAACAGACAAGAGTTCTTTCTCCCACTCTGGACATTCCACTTAACACTTCCCAGGCAGTAAGAAGCCAAACTTTGAAGCTGCAACACCATTAAGTGCTAATCAAGGCAGCCAATTGCAACATTCGCACCTACCTCAAACAGACAAGGGTTCTTTCTCCCACTCTGGACATTCCAGTTAACACCTCTCAACAAAGGAGTCCCTCAGGCAGTAAGAAGCCAAACCTTGAAGCTGCAACGCCATTAAATGCTAATCAAGGTTGGCCAATCGCAACATTTGCACCTACCTCAAACAGACAAGAGTACTTCCTCTCACTCTGGACATTCCCCCAGGCAGAAAGAAGCCAGACCTTTATTTATTTATTTACAGTATTTATATACCGATTTCCTCACTCCTAGAAGGACTCATTGCAACTCCATAAAATGCTAATCCAGACGGCCAATTGCAACACTCGTACCTACCTCAAACAGACAAGAGTTCTTTCTCCCACTCTGGACACCTCCCAACAAAGGATTCCCCCCAGGCAGTAAGAAGCCAGACCTTGAAGCTGCAACGCCATTAAGTGCTAATCAAGGCAGCCAATTGCAACATTTGCACCTACCTCAAACAGACAAGAGTTCTTACTCCTAGGGGGACTCATTGCAACACCATTAAATGCTAATCAAGGCAGCCAATTCTTTCTTTCTCCCACTCTGGACAACTCCCAACAAAGGATTCCTCCCAGGCAGTAAGAAGCCAGACCTTGAAGCTGCAATGCCATTAAGTGCTAATCAAGGCGGCCAATTGCAACATTCGCACCTACCACCAACAGACAAGAGTTCTTTCTCCCACTCTGGACATTCTAGTTAACACCTCCCAACAAAGGATTCCCCCAGGCAGAAAGAAGCCAGACCTTTATTTATTTATTTATTTATTTACAGTATTTATATACCGCTTTTCTCACCCCTAGGGGGACTCATTGCAACACCATTAAATGCTAATCAAGGCAGCCAATTGCAACATTTGCACCTACCTCAAGCAGACAAGAGTTCTTTCTCCCACCATGGACATTCCAGTTAACACCTCCCAACAAAGGATTCCCCCAGGCAGTAAGGAGCCAGACCTTGAAGCTGCAACACCATTACATGCTAATCAGTGTTGGCCAATCGCAACACTCGTACCTACCTCAAACAGACAAGAGTTCTTTCTCCCACTCTGGACACCTCCCATCAAAGGATTCCCCCAGGCAGTAAGAAACCAAACCTTGAAGCTGCAAGGCCATTAAATGCTAATCAAGGCGGCCAATTGCAACACTCGCACCTACCTCAAACAGACAAGAGTTCTTTCTCCCACTCTGGACATTTTAGTTAACACCTCCCAACAAAGGATTCCCCCAGGCAGAAAGAAGCCAGACCTTTATTTATTTATTTACAGTATTTATATACCGATTTTCTCACCCCTAGAGGGACTCATTGCAACTCCATTAAATGCTAATCCAGGCGGCTAATTGCAACATTAGCACCCACCTCAGACAGACAAGAGTTCTTTCTCCCACTCTGGACACCTCCCAACAAAGGATTCCCCCAGGCAGTAAGAAGCCAGACCTTGCAGCTGCAACACCATTAAATGCTACTCAAGGTGGCCAATTGCAACATTCGCACCTACCTCGAACAGACAAGAGTTCTTTCTCCCACTCTGGACATTGTAGTAAAAGGATTTCCTCATTGTTTGAGTCCACAGTACTCTCTGGATATAGGTGAACTACAACTCCAAAAGTCAAGGTCAATGCCCACCAAACCCTTCCAGTATTTTCTGTTGGAAGTGGGAATTCTGCGTCCCAAGTTTGGTTGAATTCCATCATTGGTGGTGTTCAGAATGCTCTTTGATTGTAGGTGAACTATAAAGCCCAGCAACTACAACTCCCAAATGTCAAGGTCTATTTTCCCTATACTCCACCAGTGTTCACATTTGGGCATATTAAGTATCTGTGCCAAGTTTGGTCCAGCTCCATCATTGTTTGAATCCACAGTGCTCTCTGGATATGGTGAACTACAACTCCAAAACTCAAGGTCGATGCCCACCAAACCCTTCCAGCATTTTCTGTTGCTCATGGGAGTTCTGTGTGCCAAGTTTGGTTCAGTTCCATTATTGGTGGAGTTCAGAATGCTCTTTGATTGTAGGTGAACTATAAATCCCTGCAACTATAACTCCGAAATGACAAAATCAATCCCCTTCCCTCAACTCATTCTTTCTTTCGTCTGACTTCTCTTTGTTCTTATGCATTGTTGCTGTGTTTAATTTTTGCTATCTTAATTATTGCTACTAGCTCCTTTTTCAGTGAGCATATGTGTTTTTATCTTCAGACTCCAGATGATCTGTAGTCATAGTTTACAGAGCTTCAAGCTGTTTGCTATATCATTTTTAATATTGCCTAGCGGATGTTATCTACTATAATGAAATAGTAAGGAAGTTATACTCTCATTATAGTAACAATTTTTCCACTAACTCTACTTTAGAAACACTCTAGAAACGCACCCCTTCTCCCAGTTTTGTAATGACTTTTCTTCAATGGATCACACATCCCGATAGATCCAAATGATGGGGATGCTGGATTGTTGTGAGTTTTCTGGGTTGTATGGCCATATGGGGAAAACAGACCTTAAAATTTGGGAGTTGTAGTTGCTGGGCTTTATAGTTCACCTACAATCAAAGAGCATTCTGAACCGCACCAATGACAGAATTGGGCCAAACTTCTCACACAGAATCCCCATGACCAACAGAAAATACTATGTTTTCTAATGGTCTTTGTGACCCATCTGACACCCCTTTGCACCCCCCAGGGATCCCGACCCCCAGGTTGAGAAGCACTGTCATAGAAGATGTCAATGATGAATACCCAAATTTAATTGTTAGTCCCAACTAGACTAGGTTCTTGACTCAGTGGGATTTGCAATGGATTGATTCAATGGATTTACTCTGCACGTCCTCCAACTGCCCTGCCTTTGCAAGGAGTGTCTCAGGCCCCTTCTACACTGATTCCAGCCATGAAAGCCTTTGACAACACATTCAAACCCTGTTATCCCAGATTTGCAAATCTCAAAAGTAATATGGAAGCACAAGTCCCATTCTTGCATCTATTTGGCACTCAAGTCGAAGCCTGAAAGCAATGTAAGCAGACAGCCCCGATTTACAGAACAGCTCCTCTCTAAGCCATCGCTCAGCTGCAAGAAGCCCCAAATGTGCCATTCTATAATGAGACAAGTTGTACAACAGAGATGAAATGTGATTCATGAGAACGTCAAGAAAATCAATATATACTCATTCACATCCGTGGGGGCTATTTTTGAAAAACAAATCAGACAAAACAAAAATCCAAAACAAAAGTCCTCCGTTGTGGTCGATCTCTACGAAGTCGTCAAAGAGAATATCACTTTATGTATGCAGTTTGGCCTCGGACCTTTTACCATGGAATCATTGGTTCGTTGCTGTTGTGCGAACTCAGAATGTTTTGTCAGTATTTGCAAATGTAAATATTGACTTGCGCCATCTTCTCGGTGAAAATGAACCATTTGTACCAGTATCAAAGATCCTGCACATTTTTGACACTGGTTTTTATGCACTTTTTTCCAGATGTGAAACAATTCCAATTATTGCCTTGTTGCCTGGACTAAGATAAAAGATTGGGTTGTTTACATTTTTGACCCATGGCCTTGTGTTTTTTTTTACTTAGCTTCAAAAATAGATAAGTATTGAGAAATAACTACCACCTCCCAACAAAGGATCCTCCAAGACAGGAAGCAGCCAGGCTTTTAAGCTGCAAGGCTATTCAATGCTAATTAAGATGTCCAGTTGCAACATTCACACTTGCCTCAAACAGACAAGAATTCTTTCTCCCACCCTGGACGTTCCACAAATATATAAACCCCACTTGCCTAGATTCCAACAGACTTCACAACCTCTGAGTATGCCTGCCACAGATGTGGGCATAATGTCAGGAGAGAATGCTTCTGGAACATGGCCATACAGCCCGGAAAACTCACAGCAGCCTAGTGATTCTGAACATGAAAGCCTTCGACAACACATT